TTTTGGTAATAATGAGTTGCAATAGTGCGCAGCTGACTTTAAATACTGTTACAAATGTGACGCAGTTGACCATATAGTAATGAAATGTCCTATAATTCTAGAACAAAAAAAATCAACAGATGAAGTTGAAGAATCTAGACCTCTTAGATCTAAATTGTTTTCCGTTCAATGACTTTATAATCGTTTTAAACCTGTTGGGTCTTACTTCCTTATCATCAAAAATTTTACACAAAAAAAGAAAGAACAACAGTTCTTTATCATTCAAAACCAATCTTCAATAAGGGTAAAGGACTACAAACAGTCGACAACTCTATTCATAACCCTCAAAATACCTCAACTGATGATACTAACAAAAAATTTGATAAAATTCTGAACATGTTAACAATAATGCAAAAAGATATGTCTGAATTAGAAACTCGTATTTCAAAGTTAGAAAAACATAAATTTAACTTAGACTCTACTTCTATCATCTCTACCTCTAACACCCCTTTTAAATCCACTTCACATAATTTGGTTCTAAATTTTAATCAAGAAAAACATACTCGTATTACTAACTCATCATCTGATAAAAATAACTCCTCTGCTTTTAAACCTGTTGATCTCAAACTTTAAGAATATATGGACGAACAAAATGCTATCATCAGAGATCTTCACAAATAACTCAAAGATGTAATGACTCAAAACACCATCCTTGTCAACAAGAATACATAATAACTTTCTCACCCTTAACCTTTATCCTTAATCATGATTAATAACAATAACAATAATCTTTCTAATACTGATAATGATACACCCATGATATTACCTCAATAAGATGTTATATTATCACCTGCTTCACTATTACATTTGCCATACATAACATTAATTCCCTTTAATATTTGATTAAAAATCTTCATTAACGATTCTTTTTCAGATTTCAATACTGATTTTGTTGATTTTACAGAAACTCAACACAAAGCTAATCAAACTTTTCGCAATTTATCTGATCTTACTTACACTTCTTATTAGAGTAACAATATTAACCCTTACGTCAGTGTTGGCATCTTTATTAAAAAATCTTGAGCAATTTATGTTTAAAAAGCATTTTTAAATTACGATAGATTTATCTACATTGACCTTTACTTAGCAGGCAACGTTAAGTTTAGAATATTTTGTATATACTTATATGCTTCTATTGAGACGTAAATCAAGAAAGAAAGAACAAAGAAATTATTAATTACGTTAAAGAAGAATTCAAGTCTGACTTCAGAATACTAATTCTAGGTGATTTTAATGCTAATTTAGATATATATTAGTTACTTGTATGCAATGGAAAATCGATTCATTAGCAAATGGAATTCTATCAAAAACTTTTGCCCTAAATTTTTTCGATCTTTATAACATATGTCATGATACATTCTAACTAACATACAATTCAGGACCTTATAGTTCTCGAATTGACTTTATTTTTGCTTCACCCAATATCACATCAGAATTTTTATTTTCTTACATTGATACTCCTGACTTTTATTTTTCAGATCACAAAATTGTTTTTACTTCTTTCTCTGATTTTTACAAACAGCAATCTGCCAGATCTCGTAATCTACAAAACAAAAGGCAGATTCTTAACCTAAAAGCAATGAATAATGCTAAATAGATTGAATTTGTCCCACATACCAACCTTCATTATCGCTATCACAATTTTGATCATTTTAATAGTCTCTTTCACAACAAAACCAATATGAATATCCTGTGAGTCCAAATAAAGACCGCTATTCTTGTAGCAAATCGTAACTGCATTCCTCAAACTTGGATCTCTCTTTAACAATACTACAAACATCCTTTTAAACAACCTGACTCTCTTATTAGTGTTCGCAAAGTTGCCTCTTTTCTATTGAAATTTAAAAACACTTTTATTTAACAACAAATTTAGCCTAATGCTATTGACTAAAGGTTCTCTAAATATGTTTTGAACAACGATCTTTCTCCTAGAAAATTTGAAAAAATACCCAACTACTCTATTTGATACCTTATAAACATACAGTGGATATACTGAAACTTAATATATATTTTTACAAAGTGAAAGCACATACTAGTGATCATTTTAATGATATCGCTGATCAATTAACTAAAGTTAGATATAACGCTCATTCCCTTATTCCAATATTAAATAACATTCCCTTATCTGACCTTATCTTTACTTTCAATAATGTACCAGTTAAAATATTTATTTGGAGTTTCTTCAACAACTATTTTCTGTTAAAACTTTCTGCAACTTTCTTGATCTGAATAGAAATTGTCATATCATACGTCTTATTAGCAACCACTCTATCAATTAGCCTACCATTTGGTCTCTATTCTCCCTAAATCTATCTTTCCTTACTACTTAATTTGCTTTTTGTAAACTTAAGACCTTCATCATAAAAAATTTTGTTATTGAATTACTTACCTATCAAGATTATCTATACTACGGTCTGATTTGTATGAATATTGGTATTATGTAGGCTGTATTCAGGTTACGAAAACTTTTGCACATCTCTAGATCTACCCTACTTACGTTACAAGATTACAAGATATTATTTAAACTACCAAAGATGACTTAATCTATCGCTTCACAGAATTGAATGTCTCTAAACTTACTGCAGAATTACTAGACATTCTAAATGATATCCTTATCACCCCTCATCTAAATCAGATAGTTACATTAATATTATTTGATCTCTTATTCCTTCTTCTTATGTAGACATAGTCCATAAAATCACTAGAAATAAGGGTCAATATTTCTCGATCATCACTCAAATTTTAATAATTTTTCAACAAAAATTATTTGAGGAAGTTTGAAAATACAGTTGCAATCTAATGATAGCAAAAGAATGTTTATTAGGTATCATAATTAAAGATAAGATTAAACAAGGTGCTAGTTTATTCTTGAGACATAAAGAGACATTATTTCTTACATATAATTGGGAAACTTGATTATATCTAGCAAATAAATTCAGTTACACATTTACAGATTTTTAGATAGACACTGACTCTTTCTTTTTCTTCTCTTACTGATAACAAGTTTCATTAAATATAAACTTAGTGGATTTGTTAGAAAGGAAAGATGATGATTGGTCAATTCAAATGAATTTATAATATAACTACAGGCAGAGTTGAGAAATTTGTATGTATTAGGCAAATTTTGACCTTGTACTTATACTGTACTATACTAAATTTTATATTAATTATTATGTGTACTAACTGTACTAAACTGTACTAAGCTGTACTAACTGTACTAATTTTCCAACCCTGACTACAGGGGATAGCTAGTACTTAGTCTAGATTTATTTGATTTACATTGTATTTCTTTTATATAAATTTAATAAAGTTACTAGCAGTGCCACATCATAAAAAAAAAATTTATTTTTTAGATTATTATAATGTCTTTAACCAATGTACTATATGCGGATGATAAGTGTGATTGTATAACTATATATCAAATATGAAATTCGTTTAAGTAGCAACATCATGTGGTAGTAGTGACTGGACTCGTATTCATTTAACTCGAGTCAACTCGAGTTAAATTCTGATTCGAATCAAGATTTTCTTGATTTAAGTCAGAATTCGAGTTGACTCAAATTAAAACTACTTGAGTCAACTCCAAATTTATGCTATATTTTATAAATAACATGTAATTCTTTTCTTAAACTGCATTTATTAGCATAATATAATTAACATTTATTATATAATCATTGAATAAAAATTTTTTAAAAAAATTTCCTTTAGTTTGGCCCCAAAAATATCACAAAATTTTGGTCTGCATTATACTTTTTCAGCCTGCATTATGACTTTAACTCGAGTTTAACTCGAGTTTCTGACTCGAATTTCCAACTCGAGTACTCTTCAAGTTAAAAATTTCTTGATTCGACTTTGACTCGAGTTAACTTTTCTGACTCGAGTCCAAACTCTATGTGGTAGTCTACAATCTGTATTACTATTTATTTTTCTTCGTACGATTAATAAAGCAAATTATAGACACATAATGGAATAAATTATAAGATTGTAAAAAGCGTGTATATGAATGTATTTTTTTTGATCAAGTTTTATTGTGATAAAATCATTGATCCAAATATCTAAAATAGACATCATATGTATCACAAGAACAATTAACTACGCAAATACTTTATTCTCAAATATTTTTGCATATTCTCAAAATTTTTACGTATATTATTAAAGAAGGGCCTCTTGATGATCTTTAAATATGGATAGTGTTAAATTCTTTATTGTTAAATTAAGTTGATCAGATTTTTACGATACGTAATTTTTCTCTAAATATGCTCTAAGATTGATTCTGCAAATTGTATAAAAAGGTGACTTTCTTAGATAAAATAATTATTTCTAATATAATTAATTACTTAGCAATAGAATTGTTTTAAAATTCAATCAGAAAATGAAGACTTTGATTATCTTATAGAGATCTTAAAGAATGTGAAGAATGAAGTTAATGATGAAGATCGTAAATAACATCTTAAGTTATTATAGAATATTAACCAAGTAATTTATATTATTTTATTCTTAGTACATTAGAAATAATATGATAAATATGTTATCTAAACAAATAAATATAGTGCTATTAAAAAAGTGATATATTATCAGTAAGAATCTCTTTTATTACACTTATAATGATGATTTTTTAAGATAATAATGCTAGCTAATTCTGATTAGAATAGGATTTATGCAAAAATAAATAATAATGTCTTCCTGAATTTTATTAATTTATCCATTTATTTTTAAATGCGATTCATTAGAAATGAGCTAGTTTTATTAAAAAATATGGAGTTTTTATGAGAAAAATTAAAGAAGAAGTAAATTTGAAAACTTTAGCCTTAAATAATATAACGCTTTTGAAAGATAAATTAAGATAACCAATATATTTATCAGAAATTTTAATCTCGTGTTTTTTTTAAATTTTCTCATAAAATATTTTTTTTTTCAATTGAGTTTAGAAAAAAAATATATTAGTGCATAAATATATTCTTATGACAATAAGTAATATTGATATTAATAAAGTATCAAATGATGATTCGCTATATATTGGAGTAATAGATCTTAGTTCAGAAAAATATAATATATCAGAAAGTAGTTATAAATCCCTTATTGTATGTATACTTTTATTTTTTTTTCTTAATGAATTAGTTACTAAAATTATATTTTCATATATTAATTACTTCTTATATTTATAGGGAGAGAAAGTTAATATAAGAAACTTAAGCAAAGATGCAGAAGTAAAGAAAATATGTAACAAATTTATATCAAAGAGGAATGAAATTTATAAATTACAAAAATTTGTATTATCTTTGAAAAATATTATAATGCATAATCAATAGATTGAAAATAATCACATTAAGGAATGCATAGCTGGTAAAATTGCTGATATACTTTTACAGAAAATTAAGTTAAATGCACTTCAAAGGGTTTCTGAAGGATCTGAAAATATGTTAGTAGAAATTATTGCTCTCTTAATAGACATGGTTATGTATCATTTACCAGTATACTATGATATTGAAGTTACTAAGGCCAGACGTCAAAGTAAAGCTAGTAAAAACTGCAAAGTTTAGTAAAAAACTGGATTAATAGAAAATAAACCTGATCTCATGTTTTGTGTTTATTTTTGTCAAAAGTAGAAGGAAATCATTTTCTTTGAAAGTGGAAAATGGGATGCTGATAAAGATAAAATCTGCCATAATCATAATAAATTAGTTTAACTTTGTTTAAATAGCACTAAAGAACTTGTAAAGAAATGTATAAAAGAAATATTCTATCAAAATTATATAGAATTCAGGGTTAATATTGCAAGTAAGTATCTAAAGATCTATGGTTTAATAATGAAAAAAGAAGTAAAATACTATCTTCCAATTATTAAAGTAAAAATACATTTCGATAAAGAGTCAGTTAAGAATATTGAAGAGTTTGTTTATGATCTATTAGTTTACAAGTAAATGTTTTTCTTATTTTTAAATAAATACTTAGTTATATAATGATATTGATACAAAAATCTCTAATTCCAGAATGGAATTATCGTAAATTTATTGAGTATTGTAAATAGTTTTCAAAAAAGATCAAGAAAGATGAGTAATATACAGTGGCGGTCAAAAGTATTGCATCACCCGAACACAAATTTTAAAATTGCAATTTTTGACAATTAAGGCGGCGCAGTGTACAAAACTTTATTTTTAGACTTATTATAACGAATCAATTTAGTGGTATAA